CATATTAGCTCATCTTGTATTTGGTACAGTAACTAAGAGTTTGAACTTCTGTTTGCAACTTGGGTGTTTGTAAGGATCAAAGAGAAGCCTGGAGCCCTGTCTGCAAATGGTTTATCACTCTATCCTCCTCCCCCTTTTTCCCCCAGGCCCTGTTAACATTGACTCTTTAATTACACTGGAATCTTTTGGGTGATTTCTTAGAAAGTGAAAAGAATTTTTTTTCCCAAATACAAATCTCTTTGAAAACTTAATATCTGAGACTGACAAACATTCCTGAAGATAACTTAGGTAGACAAATAAAAAAAAAGGCCACTGGAAATACAAACTCTATCACCTATACACCCATTTCTGAATCTCTCTGTATCAGAATTACTTAAAGTAGAACTACTCTTTTGACAAAGAAATTGTATAGAGAATTACAACGGATACTGATTTTGGATAAAAGCTTTCCACCAAAGTGGGAAGTATGTGCAAGACTTTCACCATAAGGAGTTAGACAACCAGGAAATTTGAGAGAAAAGGGGGTCTACATTGGTAGCCGGCAAATGAAATGATTATTAGAAAAACCAGGGTTGCCTTATCAGGATTTACAAAACTACTACTTCCAGTCTTTACTGCTTGTAATTTTCCAGCTTAAGCAATATGATCCAGCAACATCACAACAAGCTTGCGTATGCTGAAATCCTATTAAGGTTGTTTTCTCTCCACTTCTCTGCTTCTTACATTCATGTTTAAAACTATAACTGATGTTTTGACCATATGATTTTCCCTGAGGAGCTGTTGTCAAGGTCTCCACTTTTTAAATAAAAGATTATATATCTCTATATCATAAGCATGCAGATCCTCCATATAGCCAGAAAGGAGATCATATTAATACACTAAAACTTCACTTAAAAGTATCTGTCCATTAAATCCATGATCAAATCAAAGGCATTATCTTCCAGACTTAAAGGAAAGGATCTCACTTTGAGAAAAGCCAATAACAAGAATGAAGTCTCAGGTCCAAGTGTTTCCTGAACATAGAGAGGACAAAAAAAAACCCTCAAAATACAAAACCAAGGTGCATTAAAGTGGCTCACCCTATGTTAGCTCATTACTAGACAGGCCATCTGAAGGACCAAACCCCTTGATTAGAGTCCAGGGACATAGAAATTGGCTTATTAAACTTGATCAACCCAATAGTGTTTAGGAAGAAAAAGGGCAAAGGCAAAATTTGTATTCTATAGTGTTACTATCTGATTTTAAAATCTGTGGGCACTCTGATTTCTTTCCCTAGAGAAAACAAAGTGTTCTTGGACCAGCCCCCTAGAACCTTCAAGTGTAAGTGTCATTGGCTTATCTGACAACATAGGTCTCCACAGGTTCTCCCAAGATAAGGCTTGCCTTTCTTAAGCCAAACACAAAGTGCAGGGAAATTGTCTATCATAGTTACATACCACTGATGTGGGGTAAATAGATTTTCCTACACATTTATTGGAACGATTATCTACAAGGCTATCTTGCAACCAGAGAATCTAAAGTGCAATGATTGTTCTAATACTTGAATTGGTATTTCCTGATTATTCTTCCATCGCCAAGAGATTCAGACAGAAGATGGCATTATAGGAAGGACAGGAGAGGAAGAGCCAATGGAGGAGGAGTAAAGGATGGGAAAAGAACAGCACAATCTTTATGGTCAAGGTATTTGGTGAGAGACTTTGAAAGGCAAATGCACCCAGGTGATGTCTTCCACAGCAAGGGAAGATCACTGTACCCTGTGCCCTCTGTCTACGCATGCTATTGTTTCAGCCCATGATGCTTTGTTTACTTTGGAAGGAAATATTTTACCCCCTTGGAGATAATTAATTTTTGTCAGCTTCAGTGTTTATAAGGGAAACTGAGAAACTGTTAATTGAAATACAGAATGAGTCACTGTTTTCAGTAATTGTTGGCAACATTCTAATTTGTGTCAATCCCAGCCTAATTATTAGATTTTTTTGGAAGCAGAAAACATATTGGATTTTTTTTTCTCTTACTGATTTTGTCTCCTTTTTTGGAATATCCTCTATCTGACAAAGTTTATATCACTTGTGTCAATGTGAGGTGAAATGCCAGTGCATTTGAAATGCCAGTACGTTTAGTTTATCGCGTCACTCTTGGCTATACACAACTCAAGGTTTAGAAAGCACATAGGCTGTAGTCTTCCCCTTTCATTCTTGCCTCCCCCAGCCTCAACTAGAAAATTGTGATTTTTTTAAAGACCGCTTTGCTCATACAGAGCCACAATCTATGGCCCATCACTAATGACATCATGGAAGTGAATTTCCCAGAAGCCATAGGGAGAGTTCATTTGGAAATCCAATTGAATGTCACTGGCAACGAGTAGGCACCTTGTAGAGGTGACCAGTCATGCATTCCAAGTTGTTTATTGCAAAAGCATTAATCACCATGAACTCATTTAGTCCTAAAGCAGACACACTATATTATACCACAGGAATTCTGTTCCAAATGATCATTAATGTAGAGAACAGGGAGCTGCTGATTGTGGGCAAGGTTAATAAAATCTGTCAGATCAATGGCCAGCATAATGGGCCTGTTAATGGCTCTTAATAGAACTTGGACTTCCCTGGCTGCAAGCAGAGGGAAGGCAAGCAGAGAGGCAGGTGGTTCTGCTGGGCAGACAGCTCCATCTTTTGCCTCCTGAGGTGGCCTCTGAATAAAGACAGTACTGATAGTTGGGGTTCTGAGGTATTGATGACCAGGAGTTCCAGGACTCATGGTGACTGGAGAGAGAGGCCCCAGGATGACCCAAGAGGGCTATGCTCCAACACTCAAGTGGTGTACATACCACTGCTGCTCACAAATCACAGGCCAGAGGACATGGGGGCTTCTCAGACCCTTGCCCTCCTCCCACTCTGAGGAACCAACACAATGACAATCACACTGATAATAATGACAACCACAACAGAGGCCAACTGGGAGCTTCTGTGGATTTCATATGCACTTTACTCAATGGGTTAGTGGTACTGGGATTTGAACTCAAGGCCTCTTGCTTGATTAGACTAGTGCTTTAGCACTTCAAACATGCTGCCAGCCATGCTTATTGCTGGTTGTTTTTGGAGATGGAGTTTAGTTAACTCTTTTGCCTTGGTGAGTCTCACTAGATCCTCCAAATCTGAGCCTCCTGAGTAGCTAGAGTTACAGACATGAGCCACCAGACCCAGCTTTGTACCCTTTTGAGAGTAGAAAAGCTGACTCAGAAGTACTAGAATGAGAGACATAGAAGCAGCGGCCTCAAATCAAAGAAAGGCACAGAATATGAGGGTGGATCTGGAAGGTTTCCATTTGCACATCCAACTAGTCAGCATGTACGGCACCAAGCTTGGGCAGTCTTGTAAAAACTGTGATTTGTCTGCAGTGTCATTCATGTTTTGCTGCTAAGACATGGGATCACAAGGGACCTTAGAAGAATGCCAGTTAAAGTGTCATCGAGCTGTGACCTTGGTTGGACAGCCAGGAAACATTCACCCAGCGATGGTCCCCACCCTTGTCCTTAACACTTGGTTTACCTTACCCAACCCCGGCCCCATCGAAGCTTGCCACATTGTGAGGGTCTTCTTGGTCCCCTCACCATGCCCTAATTACTGTAACTGAGTGTGGGAAGCTGCTAGTGGGGACTCCTGAGCATTGGAATTATGGGACTAAGAGTAAAGATCTCTGGAGTCAGGGACTGGGGAGTTCCAGTTACAGAGGCTGCTCTAGGAACAGCATTCCCAAGCTCTAGGGACCATCATTCCTGAAGTGTTGACAGCTACTTGAAGGCTCAGAATTAGAGGTTGGATGGAGCTTGAAAGTGAAGGTTCTGGGTTCCAGCGGCTGTCAAGAGTTCTGCAAGAGTTCAGGAATGAAGGAGGAATGAGAGCTGTGACCAGAACAACAGAAGACACGACCACTTATTGGACAGTGTCAATAATGCAGAGTTGCAGGAATGTCTTGAGGAAATGAAAGCCCTCACCCCCCACCAGGGACTTTTTTCAGGTCAGCTTCTTTACCCAAAAAAGTGAGCAAGGTGGTTTTCACATCTATGAACATTACTATCCCTAAAGGTGAATTTCTTTGATAGCATTTTTTTTAAAAATCTAATTTTAAGGACTTGGAAGATGTGATAGAACAGATGGTTATAAGGAGGAGGTGTTTCGGAAAAGAAGGGATGGAGGGCTTCAAAGGGAGGTGAACACTCTCCCCCAATAGAGCCTGCACGGTACAGCATGTGTAGAGACACAGAGGCAGTGGGACAGTCTTGTGGATGTACAGCATGGTGCTAGACTCCATTGCCCCAGGTGTAATAACAAGAGAAGTAAGTGCGAGAAAATAGCAAGAGGAAAATTTAGAGATAACATCATGGAAGACTGATCAGAATACAGAGAGAGAGAGAGAGAGAGGAGAGGAGAGGAGAGGAGAGGAGAGGAGAGGAGAGGATAGGCCCCATCTATACAAGGAGAGGAGGCATGTATGGAAACTAGCAAGGAAGTAAGGGCTGCCCAGGGAATACAAAGGATAAGGTGTCCACAGCTATGTATCGAGAAGAAGAGGGGGCAGAAGGAGACGAGAAAGAATGAGCAAGTGTGTGCACATGTGAGATTTTTTTATTGGAGAATGTGTGAGTGCATGCTTACATAGGTGTTCATGTTGTATATGTGTGTGCATATGATTATTTATGTACATGTGCATGTATTCATGCGTGAGTGTATGAATGTGAGGACAGGAAACCAGTGTGCAGGAGGCAGGACCGGCAAGGGTGGCAGCCCATTTCCAAGAGCTTTTACTTACACAGAGAAGTTTAGATCAACATCATGAATAATAATCATTGTAAGGCCTCAGGCACCCAAGGAGTATGATCCAAGCTTAATTCTGGCAAGTTCTATATAGCAGTATATCAGTTAGATAGACTGGAGTATGAAGAGGGAATTATGGGTAGCCAGGGCCCCTGCCCTAATGACTTGCCATCTTGTCTCCTACAGCACACCTGCATATTGCCTTTCTCATTGGTTGAAGTCATCCTGAGACCACATCACTATCCAACGAAAAGTACAGGACTCATCTTGTTGGCTGCTGGTGTTTTCAGTTACATAACCAGGTAAGAATTGCAAAGAAGAAACTGAATGGATGCTTGTTATTTTGGAGCCTGAGGAATATTCTAGAAAATCCTATCCTGACAGAGTCCTTCACATTGGGCTAATGGGGATTTAACCATCCTTAAATGACCCAGTAAGAAAGTTTCTTATGGCTCGATTTTAATACTCCTGTGTGTGCATGTGTGCATGCATGTGCGTGTGCACAAACACACACACACACACACACACACACACACACTCCATACAACTTCTTCACACATTCTGCTCTCCCAAGAAAATGTTGATCTTTGATTCTTCCATTTACAAATAAGCTGTTGGGATGGCTGAAAGTACATTCCATCTAAAAAGGCACATGGCAGGTGGTGCCCACTCTTGAAGCCTGAATTACTATGAGTCTATTTGCATTCTCATCTGGCTTTAGAGCTCTGCTGGGTCTTTAGGGTGATTGCCTTGGGGAAAACAGAATAGTGTCATGGGAAGTGTTAGGCGCTGAATCAACAGCTGATCTAGATTTCCTAATTCAATCACCTGGGGACACTAATTCTCAGCTGCAGCCACGCTGTTGATCTCTACCAAGGGCCTGGAACGTTCCTTTCTTTTCTCCAGCCTCCCAGGAAGCACAGTGCCTTTGCTTCTACAGAGAGGGTCCTGCTGAGCACAAGATCTAAAGCCTGGAAAGCAGTCATTGTTTCTGCTCTAGACTCTTACAAGCCATTTGGTCCTGTATTACACTCTGGGTCATCTTCTACCGTTGTATTCTGTAGCCCTGTATCCTGGATTCCGGCAAGGATTGAGGGTGGAGGACAGAATGGGGAAACAGTAGTACCTGTGTCATGGATGTCCCTGGCCTTTGTGCAAAAGCTTTATGCATACAGCCCAGATACTGGCTCCTCTCTGGCCTTTTACGGCATCTATCTGCTCCTCCCTACTTTTCCTCACCCTTATCCCTTATTCCTTGAAGAAAGCCTTTGCTCAGTACAGATACCCCAAGACTTCAATGCTCTATGGTGTTTCCCAGTCTCTGGGGCCTTTGCATTTCAACAAAGGACACTTTTAGAGAACAGGCTTAAACTGAGGACTTACAGATGGTTTTTGCTAGAACACATTGGACACAAGTGCATTTGATGACATTTCCTGTTATTCCATTGGTTGAAGCTTCCCAATCTTGGTCTATTCCATGGTTAGTGGCCCTGAGACTCTTTCACAACATGCTAGGACCAACAGACGTTCCTGAAATACAGATGATCATATGAGTTCCACAAATGGTAGGTATCCACATACAGATCATAGGGAAGTAGCCACAGGTCAGCTGCCAGATGTGCTAAATTAGATAGGCCAATGGGGAGATGGCATGGCAGGAATTAGGTAAAGAAATGGGCTCAGGCCAGAATGAGTGTTAGAGAGAAACATGAGTCACCCAAACCACTCAGTACCTCTGAGCTGAAGAAACATTTCTCTGCTGAAACCATGTTAACGATGACCTAAAAATAGGCAAGGGGCCCCTGGGGACTGTCTACCATGTACTGCTTACTTTTTGTTATTTTTCAGATTGCAAAATTGAAGGGCTGGCCCCAGAGTGGGAAAACAACGCTTTACCGAGTAGTAATGACTCCAAATCTTTCATTTCCTTTGGAAAGCATTAGTCACCTATAAATATGGTAGTTCATTCACTCCTCCCTGCTCTCACCCCAAACACCTCATCTCTGTGTGTGTGTGTGTGTGTGTGTGTGTGTGTGTGTGTGTGTGGTGAGGAGCTGGAAAAATCTAAATGTTTCTTATGCTGGTTCTTATTCCTTCTTTTATTAGACACATATTTCCCCTAAGGCAGGGCTGGTCCCGATGGGAAAAGCAAAGTCATATAAGGCCAAACTACAGCCTACATGGAGGTTTATACTTAATAGGTGGAAATGAGCAGTGCATACATATTGTAGGAATGTGGGCTAGAAAGTGATGACATGTCATTAAAAATACAAGGAGCCATAGGAACACAGTGAAAGGAGGGGCTCACCAGCTGTATGGTATGGGAATGCATGCATTGGGCCTAAGCCCTGAAGAACCAGCAAAGCCTGGAGCTGCAACAGGAGAAAATGAACCCCAAGAGCACCATATCTAACTCAAGAGAATGTGAAAATAGAGGTCAGCAATTCTCGTCTGCTGGACCTGTTGAAAGAGGGGACTAACAGGAAATAGTTCTAGGAATACTCACTGACAGAGGCATACAGTTGGCATCTAGAGGAGGGAAGACATGTAATAGACACCCCCTAACTTTTAGCAGGGTTAGTCCCACTAAATCCTTCCCAAAGTAAACCTACTGTAAGTTGAAAATGCATCTACCCTACTGGACATCATAGGTTAGCGTCACTGCAGAGTGTGAGTTATTCCCCATCTTGTGCACAGATCTTTGGAAAGAGCTCTAAATCCCAAATTCCAAGCACACATTCTACTGAAAGCTGATTGCTATTATTGAAAAGTCAAGGAAATCTTAAAGTTGAAACATGGCAAGGGACCCTCTATGCACAAAGGAAGTTTGTTTCTGTGGGGGTGAAGATAACAGCAAGAAATATTGATAACTTGGTCAAAAAATTGTTTAAAAGTTGCTCTTGACAATAATAATATGAATTGGAGGGACAGGAGATATGGAACAATATAAAACAAAATGCTAGCCAGGTGCTAGTGGCTCACACCTACAATCCTAGCTACTTTGGAGGTTGAGATTGAGAGGATTACAATTTGAGACCAATATGGACATCTTTCTTGGCCATCCTTCTTAGCGGAGAGCTGGGTGCAGTGGCATATACTTGTCATCCTAGCTACAATGAGAAAACTAATAGAGGTGGATCAGGAAAAAAAATAACCAGCAGAAAACAAACCTGGGGGTGTGGCTCAGCAGTAAAAGTGCCTGTCTTGAAAGTGTGAGACCCAGAATTCTGGGACTCCCAGGGGGCGGGGAACCTTCTGCCCCAACTGCCTAAATCAATAAGTCAGATATTGCTGGGCACCGGTGGCTCACGCCTGTAATCCTAGCTACTCAGGAGGCTGAGATCTGAGGATCATGATTCAAAGCCAGCCTGGGCAGGAAAGTCCGTGAGACTCTTATCTCCCATAAAGCACCAGAAAACCGAAAGTGTTGCTGTAGCTCAAGTGGTAGAGCGTTCACCTTGAGCTGAAGAGCTCAGGGACAGGGCCTAGGCCCAGAGTTCAAGCCCCAAGACCAACAACAACAAAAAAGCCAGATATTAAGTTACTTAATTTAATCATAACACAATGTCCTGTTCTTTATCCATGGTTATTTTATAGTTCTAGCAACATCCCACTTACCAGTGCTAAGAGGTGTATTTTTTTCTACTGGCCTGGATGTTCTGGTCTTCCAAGATCTCCATCCCTAAAGAATCCCAGTGATCTCTCACATGTCCCTGGTGTACACTGTCCCCAGGATCCTTCTTTCACACAAATGAGAAAGTCATAATCCTGAGGCTCCTGCATAGGACACCTCTCCCTGGCACCAGGCTGATCCCACTGCCAGAGTGGCCAGCAATGCAGAAGGCTACTGGTCATCCCAACAGCCCCAGCTAGCCCAGGCAAACCTCACTCTGCTCTTGATGGATTCTGCTAGTGTGTAAGATATTGCAGGCCAAGCACAAATGTCCCAAAGGCATGCAGCTATCATCCAGCTTGGTGAAGATGTTTGCAGAGCCATTTCCTTAGAAACAGGGGATCCTTTTCTTCTGTTCTTCAGGTGAGGTCTCTAAGCAAAGCTTTCTTTATACCCTCAAGTGTAAGAATCTTTCCATTTATGCCCCATTTACACATATATGCCTAAACATCTTGCCCTGAGAACACTTTAAAAACTGCAGGGGGTTGATTCTAGATCATACCCAGAACCAACAGTTAATGTCTCCTGGTGAGTTCCCTCTCAGAGACACTGCTAACCTTTTCCTCAATGACACCTTCATCAAAGTCAGCCACATTTTTTTTATAACCTCAAATTTCAGTGGGGATTGGAATCCAACTTCACTTTTATTCTCTAAAGACGTGCATTCTTTCTCTAAAGAAATATTTCATCCTCTAAAGAAGTACTCATTAGACCTGGTGTAAATTAATATGCAAAAATAAATACAAGGATGTCAAGCCACATATTTTTATTACCAATGTTTGGGGTCGGGGTCCAGCTGACTGGGAGGCAAATTAAAGAGTGATGAAGTGTGTCATCCTTCCTGCTCAAGTCCCAGCTTCTGTCTAACCACAATGCTTGTAATACAAATTAGAAATAATGGCAGCTTGAAAAAGGTAGCATTGAAACACTTAGAAATAAGACACATACCTGAGAGACACCATTGAAGTAATAGAATTGGTGGATTGACATGTAGTGGAAAAATACAAAAGGGAAAATTAAAATGCTAAGAAGTTTAATCCAGTGATTCTATTAATAGAATTAACAGGAATTATGAAAGAAATCATTTTGAGTAGTGTAGTAAATAAATAAAGTCAGAGCTAGGCACAAGTAGCTCAAGCCTGTAATTCTAGCTATTCAGGAGGCTGAGATCTGAGGATCTCAGTTCAAAGCCAGCCAGGGCAGACAAATCTGTGACACTCTTATCCCCAATTAACCAGCAGAAAGTCAGAAGTAGAGGTGTGGCCCAGTTGGAAGAATGTCAGCCTAGAATAGAAAAATCCAAATGAGAGTGCAGAGACCCTAAATTCAAGACCCCCCACACACAGCACAGCACACACAACAGTTTTAAACCCCATATCTAGAACTTATTCACACACACACACACACACACACACAATGCTAGTTTAATTAGTTCAAGATACATCCTGAGCATTTTTTAAAATCCCAAGCAATTTCTAAAAGATTTTAAGCCACAGTTAAGAAGCACCTGACTAGAGAACTCTTGTCTGGAAATTCATTCCAGGTTATGTGTAGAAACATGAGGTGAGGAGTTGGAGAAATAGCCTCATCTGAGGGAGGAGAAGGGCTGGCTATGAGGCTACAGAGAAT